ACCACGAGCCTCCCCGCCGGCCGCCGCCGGGAGGGAACCGCTTCCCCTCCACCACCGCGGCTCGTTTTACCAGCCCGTGCCTGTCGGGTCCGCGCTCGATGCCTCACCGGGAAAATATGCGCAGGAGCGCAGGATGGGCGGACGCCGTGCCGGGGAGGTGCCGCCGCCGGCCGTGGCCTTTCGCCCGGGGAAGGCGAGCAGAGACACGCGGCCTCCCTGCGCTTTGCTGTCCTCCCCCCCCGCCTTCCTGGAGCTCAGCGGCTCCGGGGATGGGAGGAGGTGGAAATCCAAAGGCTTTGGAGGGCTGGTTGAGGGGTGACCGCCACCCAAAGCGTCCCCTGCTCTCTCCCCCAAGGACACAGCCTGAGCAGAGAACTGCAAACTCAGTGCATGCGACGGGGTGGTCCGGCAAAACCGCCCAGGTTGTGGGCGGTGCCGAGAGGCTATTGAATTCATTAGGAAAACTGTACCTACGAGATTGCACCACAAGGACGTGATGAAAGGCTCCCCCGGCCAAAGGTCGTCGATCCCAGCGCAGCCCAGTTACTGCCGGGGACTCCCATTAAACATAAAATCAGAGCAGCTCCACCGGCGAGGGAACCCGACTTCTCCCCTCCTCTAGCCGGGGCTCTGCTCGGACACGCGGGGAGAAGGGGGGAGCATTCGCAGTTTCCTAATTAGCCCAATTACTGCTGCAGATCTAAAGTCCCTTGTCGGGGACACGGTGGCACCCGGAGAGAAGTGACTGCGGCTCGCTCTGGTTTCCCGCGAGCGACTGTTGCGGGGGTTATTTTAGAGCCCCGACATTCAACTATTCATCCAGCAAGAAAAAAAATTAAAGATCCATATATTACACATGCATATAAGTGTGTATATATATATAAAAATTGTTTATATATATTCACCATTCATTTATGTGCGGTTTTGGGGGTACCTCTGGGAACTTTGCAGCGGAGCTGGCGCCCAAATCTCTCGCAGTCTCTGAAAAAGCTTTGGGGAGGTACTGATGGTGAAGAGCAACACGGAGCTGCGAGATACCCCGGAGCCCGATGTGGAGCCCAGAGATGCCCCGGAGCCTGACACGGAGCCGGGAGATGCCCTGAGGAGGTTCCCAGCCTCTCCCGCCACATCCCAAACCCCCCGGGGGACTGGCGGGTTCCCGCTAAATCACAGCTGGTTGAGAAGCACCGAAGCCGGCCGAGCCGCTGGAGAGCAATTAGCAGTTCGCGCTCTCGCAAGAATTAAACGCAACGGGAGGAGATGAAAGCCATAAAGCCACCGGGACCTCGGCGTGGGCCGACTCGGGCGGCATCCAGCGTGCCAAGAGCCGGCGGGGAAACCATCGCGTCCTCGGTGCTACCGGTGCCTTTGACCAAAAAGCGGCAGCTTGGAGCTTGTTTGGGCACGAAAATTCAAGCCTGAGTTGGTTCTCCCGGCGTGCGGCTGCCGGGGCTCCTCTCCTCTCTGCCTGCTCTCCCTGCCTGCTCTGCTCTCCCTGCCTGCTCTGCTCTCCCTGCCTGCTCTTCTCTCCCTGCCTCCAGCGCCGGCGAGGCGAGGCGTGGGTGGACGAGCGGAGCGCGTCTTTGCCGTTGGTTCCCGAGAACCGCCATGAGCTCCTCGGAGGAGAGGGAAACGCTTTTGACAGGCAGCTGCCGCACACACCCCGCCGCGC